TCAGCCTCCTGATGAGTCGGTGAAACTCCGACGAAACAGTTTGTCACAGCCCCTCGTTTGTTGTCCTCTTCTCCCTCTCTGCCTACGGTTTACCGGGCAGTTCTATTTAACGATATATATATAAATCGTCAAATAGATAGATAGATAGAGAGAGAGAGTGAGAGAGAGAGAGAAGGTGGACACTACTTGGAGTGAATCTTGACTTCCTAAACCTTGTGACCACTGGTGGCGGATGACATGAAGCTATGCTTCTCAACAAGAAGTATGCTCTTGGTGAAATCCCACGATTAAAATGAAGATGCTGGTGGATCAGAAAGTGATGCTAAATGAGGACCATTTATGGTACAAAGGAAGCCATGCTGGCAGAAAGAATTCTGGGTACGAGCCGTGGTATTTCCTGTTTGTGTGTGGAAATGAAAGTCTGGATTTGGTGTCTATGGCAATTGAATGCGTTCTTGTTGCTGCAGATGGATGCCCACTGGTGAGGTGTGAGACAACCGTGTGCTTTTGAAGTTAAGTTAACTCCAGAACGTTCTCTTGCAGACAGGAGGCACGATTCTTGCTGCCAAACTGGCCCTGGAAAGGGGGTGGGCGATTAACCTCGGGTAAGCTTTAAATTAACCCTGCATTTTCCCTTTTCCTCTTTTCCTCTTTTCCCCTTCTTCACTTTCCTCTGTTTTTCACTCTTATGCAGAAAATGACAAAGTGTTCCTTTTTAAACTCACTTCTCACTCCTAGGCTCTGCGTTTTCCATTCTTCACTTCTTCCGCTTCTTCCCTTCTCTCTCCTACGCAAAGTGTTTGTTTCTCTTTTTTTAAGAAACGTGTGGAAACATGGGATGGGAGATGATCAGTCTCTTATCTACCTGATGTGCGTGACACACCATGTGAAAACGAGCATCATATCTAACCAGATCTGTTTTGGCAGGCAATGCATTGAACGTAAGCGTCTTTTGACTTGTCAGGTTAACAAATGTAACTCTAGTTCAATGCACACACCTAGAGGGAAACATCAGGACTCACATTTGTTGTATTCATAATCTTCATCAGAACATTGCAAGCGACCTGGCCTCTCCCTTTCGACCGTTGGTCGGGCTCAGCAATTTCTGCTTTTTCAAAAGAACTGTCATGGGCTCGCTTTCAGTTACCTGGATTTTGGCTTTGTCTTCACACCGTAGTTTTGAGAAGCTTCCATAATGATGTGGAAGAACGATGTTGAACAGCCATTCTTTCATTCCGTTATCAGATTTTGTCCTTCCATTAGCGTATTCTTTCTTTCCATTATCATATTTTGTCCTTCCGTTAGCGTATTCTTTCATTCCATCAGCATGTACCTCACAGTGCTTGGCCTCATGAATGTTCGACCTCATCACTTGATATTGATGGCTGTGCTATTTACTCCACTCCGAGGTACTGGGTTTCCTGGCAGTTTGTTGTCTACCGCGAGGCATGTCTGGAGCGGGTTACAGATTGGCTCTTTGGAGACTCCTTTGTTTTTTTTCTTTTTTATTCTTTGGCACTGTACACCAGGCTGTCTCAAGCACTTTCATGATTGGTCATTGTAGTGACGGGTGTACCTGCTCTGGGGAAAACAGCTAGAACATGAGGAAGCGGACAAGGGCAGGAGAGAGAGAGAGAGAGAGAGAGAGAGAGAGAGAGAGAGAGAGAGAGAGAGGTACCTGCTCTGGGGAAAATAGCTAGAACATGAGGAAGCGGACAAGGGCGGGTGTGTGTGTGTGTGTGTGTGTGTGTGTGTGTGTGTGAG